TCATTGAGTAGATACTACTCTTAATTATATTTAATTGATCTCTCCTGAAAACAATGCACAAGACACCATATATCCCATGTTACTATACTTTGGACAAAAATGAAAAAAAAAAAAATCCCTTTTTATTGTTAACAACAATGAAGCAGCTTTGGTCTGAAAGATGAAACCTAAACAGGAAAACCATCAGACAAGACAGGATATGGAAACCAACCCCCCTGACTGATGATCTCAAATTAATTTGCAAACACCATCAGAGATCAACAACATATCATCAAACAAGGAAAATTAATTAATTCTGGAAATCATGAACACCCAGCGCTATTAATTTCCAGGGAAATCATCATATAAGATCGTTCAAAAATCCAAAACCATATTAAAATCCTAAAATTAACATTGGGTACATTAATTAGGACATGATAATACCTTTTATCTTCCAATTCTTACTCTATCCCTTCCGTCCGCCTCCAAACTGCATGCGCATACCTTCAAATCTTCATATTACAGTTTACAGAGGTTTTCATCTCAAAATGGAGGAGGCCTGGCTCCTGAGTTTCCAGGCCACCCTTCGACTGGTAGCTGCACATTTGGCGGCATGTTCAGTGGTAAATTGAAGAAAGGAAGCCCTCCAGCGCCTGCTGCTCCTGCATCCACAAACATGTTGTTCCCACCTCCGCCTCCGCTGCCACTTCCACTTTGCATCTGAAGCTGCTCATCCTCCTCCAACGGCAGTCTCTCGTAGGCGACATTCGTAAAAGAAGCCGCGATCACAATCACTGGCCCCGCCGCCATCAGCTCACCCACCACGCTCCCTCCCACTACCTGCCCTTGTCCACCAGCCAAATAGATTGTCAAGCTGGTGGCACCGGGCGGAGCAGGTGGTGGCAAGAACGAACCAGACAGTGACAATATCTCGAATCTTCCATGAAGTGTGACTATAGCTCCTGCCGCCGCTGGCTGCCTAATGCTGACGTTGGTGACGGTTCCACTTCCGCTGAGAATACAGATTCCGCGCTGTCGTCTCCTGGCGTAGTTAGCGATGCAGTCGAACACATCGCAGCCGTTCCCAACTTCGAGAATGTGAGCTCGAAGTGTGTTGGCGCTCTCACGGGTGATGATAACCGGAGGTTTAGGTTTGTTCTTGGAGCCCGGTGGGCGACCCCTTGGCCTCCTGGCCACGAGGTCACCAGGCCCGGTGTTGTTCCCCACGCTGACAAGGTCCAAGCCTTGGTGATGAGTGCCATCGTCGTGGTGATCAGTGGCGGAGAACTGACCACCACCGCCAGCTTCTCCATCACCGTCTTCATGCTCTGGATGATGCTGGAGGTGGAGATCGGGTCTGTGCAGCTGGTGGACGTAACGAGGAGCAGTTCCTAAATCAAGACCGGCCATGCCCAGCATCAAAGAAAAACACAAAACAAGGATTAAAATA